CAGAGCCAGAAGGTCTCCCCTGAGCCTCCTTTGCTCCAGGCTCAGCACCCCCAGCTCCCTCAGCTGCTCCTCCCCACACTTGGCCTCTAGACCCTTCCCCAGCAGCCCCGTTGCCCTTCTCTGCCCACGCTCCAGCAGCCTCACCTCTTCTCCAAAATTGATGATATCAACGTTGACCTTCTCCTTCTTGAGACGCTTCGCCAGCTTCACCAGCTGCAAGGAGGAGACACTGCAGCATCACCTTTTATTTTGGCTCTTACCCCTGCTCAGCTCATCAGAGACCAGACAACAGAGCTTAAGGATTCAGTCCCGGAGGCACGAAGCCCAGAATCAGCTCCCCAGTTTCAAGCCCTGGGAGCACCCCAAGGATGTAGGAGCACCCCAAGGATGTAGGAGCACCCCAAGGACGTGGGACAACCTCAAGGACGTGGGACAAGCTGCCTCTGGGAGATCCAACCTCCCCCAACCAAGGTGTTTCCCTTGGCTCCAGCACTACTCACGTCCTTCTCGTTATCCTCCACGGGGCTCCCGACGAAGGCGATGATCCTCATCTTGTGGTTCTTGCCTTGGCGGTGTTTCAAAGCCAGCTGCAGGACAGAAATCCCCTTGTAGCCCAGGAGGAAGCCTCAGGAAACAGGGCTGGCCTCTTCTCACCTCTGATATTTCTCCTCTTAAGGCAGGAAAGTGGAGGACAGGTGCCAGGAGGGGGTTTTTGGCAGCGAGTTTCACTCAACCATCAACCAGCAGACAGGTCTCAAGGGTTTTCCCTTTGCTGGTTATGACACGGCCAGACCCAGTTTTTTGGCAGAGAAACAAGTGTGGGACAGAGTTAAAAAACAGGCCAAAAGGGTTCCCACACCCTGGGGGACACCCCTCAGGGTGAGAAGGGCCGTGCAGCTCAGCTGGACTCCTGCAAAGCAGCTGCCACCTTCCTCTAAAGGAAAACATCCAACTTCTGAGCTGTTCTGTTGGGTTTTTAGCTTTTCTATTTTCCACTGGAGGTTTCAGCTGCATTTTGGAGGTGGGGAAGTGGAGGGGAAATGAGAATGACTGCTCAGCTGCAGCACAGGGAGGAAAAGGGGATTCTCCACCTCCAAGCCATGGATGGGAGAGGGAAGAAGACTGAAAGAACTCACGTGAGCAACTCTGATCCCCGTGCAAAAGGTGATTTTCCCTTTGGGCTGCACTGTGTGAAGCTTGGAGAGGATCCTGCCCGTGTCTGGGGTGAGCGTGGTCAGCACTTCACAGTTACTGCAACAACAAAACACTTGGGGAGTGTCCCAGCCAAACCTTTTCTTTCCTCTGGGAAGAAGAAACATCCACCCCCCACACCCACCCACCCACCCTGCCAGTGCTTGGCTCTGCTGGGCCTGTATGGGCAGCAAGAATTTGAGCCTGGTTGCCTTAAAAACACCCAAAAGCAACGTGTCTGTGTTGTGTGTCTGTTCCCTGGGGCCAAATTTCAGGGATTCTGGCTAAGAGGGAGCTCACAGAGGCACTGAAATCATCCCAGGGGGAGGAAAAAGAGAGGAACCACTCTCTCAGGGCTGCCTGTGAGCTGCTGTGACCTCATCTGCCACCCCTTTGGGTCACAAAACCACGACAAGATGGGTCTGGCAGAGAGAGAAAAAACCCTCTGGTGCTGCAAGAGAGCACCCAACATGCCAGAAACCAGCCAAGGATCAACCTCTCCACCTCCCAACCCTCACAGAAGAGCTGTGGGGGGCCGTGCTAAAAACCCCCTCCCCCAGGTCCCCCCCTCTTTGAGGCCAGACCCTCTCCTACTTGGCCAAGGTGATGAGCCCCACGTTGTTCTCGGGGTTGCTGCGGGTTTTGGAGTGGCACACGATGTTGACAGCATCCTGCTGGGCCTGCAGGCGAGTGGGCAAGAAGTCCCCATTCCTCATGTACTCGCTGTTGTCCACGCTGAGAGGCAAGAGAGGAAGGGGAGCAGCTTTTGGGGTTTGTCCCCCCTCAAAGGGCTTTATTTTTGGGGAGAATGAATCTGAGGGTGTGCGCTTCGGGGCGTGCAGCAGGAGGTGGGTGTTTCCCAGGGCAGAGAGAGGAGTTTTTGTGAGGTTCCCTGAGTTTTTCACACCTTTGGGACCCAGGCTGGAGCTGGAAGCTGCTGTTGCTCCTCAGAGAAAACCCAGAGAGGTGACTGTACCCCAAAATAACCTCAGAGCCACGTCCTCCCCATCCTTCCACCTCAACACCACCAAAAAAAAGAGCCAAGAGGTGCCACTCACCAAGCCCTGCACTCCTTGCCCCCGTGGGGACAAAGGGCAGCAGGCAGAGAAAGCCCCTGTCTGACCCCAGCCCTCAGGGGAGACACCCCAGGGAGGGTGACTGCTTAAATCTGAGCCTGAGAGTTTATTTTGGCCCCAGATTAACACTTCCCTGAGGAGCACTTCCAGAATTTCTTTGGTTTAACAGCAGGGAAAGTGGAAACCAAAGAGCCTGGGACTGTTTCCCTGACCCTACAGCCTCACTCAGGCTCCTCCTGAGCCACTTTCTCCACAGTTCTGTGACTCTGTGGCCTCCAGCCCACACCAACAACCCTGTCACAAGCCAAGGAGCAAGGACAGAGGGGTGGCTGAACCTCACCCGAGGCACAGAGACCCTGTGGGGGCAGCTCCACGGAGGACCAGCCACTTCTCCCTGCTCTCCAGGGCAACGTGAGGGGCAGCCACACGTTCTGATGCCCTTGAACGTTGAGTGAGCAAAGCAAAACTCAGAGGAAACACCCAGGGCTTCAGTGTAGGGGCAGTGTAAAGTAAGATCCTCAGCCAAACATCTGCAGGACCACGCAGAGAGCCAAAAAAAACAACAGGATCTGGGCAGGTTTCACTCATTTTTTTTCTCCCATGACCTTTTTAAACACCAAAATCAGCTGCTGGGATAATAACAACCCATCAATGTTCACCTCTGCTCCCAGCCCTGGCTGCATTCAGGAGAAAAACTCTTACTCAAGCCCCTGTTCAGGCCCATGTCCCCCCCTC